AAACCTCCAACAAAAGAATATTATATCAGGAAATGAACACACTGCAACATACATATTGCAATAAGTAGCATATATGCTATCAGCAAAAGACAGGCACTACAGGATTAACCCGCGCCCTGCTGGGGGGGGGGGTGTTTGAACACCCCCCTTGTGGTTTTTCGCGAATATCTCAAAAACGGCGGCGCGGAGCGCCGCCGTTTTTGGTACACCTTATCATACATCAATTCTACACATGTTGTGAAAATTTCAGATCAAGGTCATTCAAGGTCAGGTCACCAGGTCACTTGAAGTGACCTCACCTCATAAAAAGTTTCAATGTCTGTCATAGCTACACCGAGTGACCGATCGCTTTGAAACTTTCAGCGATTGCTAAGAGCAATAGCATGTACAAAATGTATATCTCAGAATTTTGATATCGATGTCCTAAAGTCAGGTCAATTTTGCGACCTCCCCATTATAAGTCAATGGGAGAAAATTGAAATGCTACGGGTTCAGCCCCGGCGACTCACTAGGGTGCCTGCCCAGACCAATGTCTCCCCCTATATCCTATCATCCTCCCGGCTCTGAAATGGTGTCATTGGACCGAAAGGGCCTAACCCAACAAAACAAAAATTGAAATGCGCCTCTTTTGGACGAAAGACATTATAAACACTCCCAAACACTGAATTACAAGTGCTTTAGACACACTGAACATGAAAATGGTGTCCGTGATCCCTGTTTATGCCCTGAGGTCATCTTAGGTCACGAATGGTATCTAACAGTTTTTCGCAAATACCTTTTGATAGAGGCATGCTAGAGCGATGAAAACGCCTTAGATGTGTTCAGGTCGACGATACGGATCGACTGATATGCAACATGACCCTTTCCGGTCAGGTCATGACCTTGACCTGAGGTCAAATTTTCAAGCTGACCTTTCAAGGTCAAGTTATAGTTCATTCGATGCGTCTTGACGAGAGAAACACGATGCCGGTAAAAGTAAGCTCGTACAAGGCTTGGGTCAAAAGTTATTGCAGAAAAACTGTTTCCGAAAAAAATCGGCTATTTTTGCAGTTTTTGCCCCCTGGAGGCAAAACCGCTGACGTTAGGTCAAATCTGAGAGAATTACTCAGAAAGGGCGTTAATAGGGCTATCGAATGCGCTTTTCCGCGGCGCTGTAGCTCTATTGGTTCCCAAGTTATGCGTTGGCTTCTTGGAAATTGTCGACATTCGACCTGGAAATCGGCGAAATTTTGCGTTCAATGACCTCTGGTAGTGGTGACCTGACCTTTGACCTGACCAAAAATTGACCGAAGTGATTTCCTCATTATTGTTGACGCTCTTTCGAACGCCGCCTCCGCGTATCGCTACGTGGCCCAGGAGCCGAGTTAGAAGGGGGGGGGGTGTTCAAACACCCCCCCCCCCCCCAGCAGGGCGTGGAAATCCAGGACCCCCAGCCGGGCGCGGGTTAACAATGCTAAAGCACCCTGAAAGAAAGTCTACCGTGCTTTTTTAATCGTATTCAAGCATACTTTCCTTAAAAAGGTCACTAAACGTACTAGCAATCTATCGTAAAATGGTTTGGGGAAGATAAGAATAAACAATAATTAATAATTTTACATTCTTCGGCATCCTGCAACCCACGTAGTTGAAGTACTAGTAAGTAGTCTTGGTCAGGCACCTGAGCGCTATGCATAGATTATGCCACTTTAATTTAGCGGTGTGTGCGTGTACTTAGGAGACCAGCCGCTTCCGTATCGGAGTAATTTATCGAGTTACGCTCAAGTGGCGTCCCATAGCAAGGCCAATTATTGAGTTACGGAGCGCGGCTGGCCGCGGGTCGTAGCCTACCTCACTGGCCATGCTCCAGAAGCGGGCACTGCGGGTCATTGGCGTGCATTAGTAATGGGCGGTCTCCCATAGTCGGGCTGTAAGGACGGGTGGCACGACACTACTGTTTCCACGGCAGGGCAATAGTCGCCTGCATTAGCAATAGGCTGCGAATGGAGCTGCTGGTTGAGGCTGCGGCCTGTGCTGACCCACGTTCAGGCTTAACCCTATTAGTGGCAGGCTCCTGGCTACCCCATATTAGTGGCAGGGGGGGGGGGCTGTTTACGACCCCCCCCCCCCCTTGATATCTCGAGATTTAACCGGCCGATTTTCAAAATTCAAACGGCATTCGATTTGGCTCAACGAGATCTACATTTCTAAAAAAAATAAAATTAAAAAATGTCAATAGGGGGGTAGAGGGGGGTAAAAACGGGCAAATTGCAGATACATTTTAGACTGTTTATCACGGCCAGGTTTCTGAACCAATCTTAACGCAACTTTTACCGATCGATAGAGAATGAACCAGGAATTCACATGGATCCTAAAAATATGCATTTTCAAAAATCATAGGCGGATACAGATCATTGAGATTGGGGGTACACAAAAAGTATAGTAAAAAAGGTTTTTGTTGGTACTGTTTCTAAAAAGGGTGGCTATGGTCTTGTTATGTTACAATTGTCTTATGAGAGAACGACTAAAATTGTATTGGTCATGCATAGGCGGTGTCAGGGCACCTATGTTGGGAGGTAAAAGTAACCCCCCTTTTTGGACGCCTGGATCCGCCTATTATAGCAAAAACGTGTCAAAAGAGGATGCACAATAACTTTGTATATGTTATCACATGATACCTTTCATTCACTGTTCGTAAAACTGATGCAGCATCGTGATCTTCGCCCAAATGACTCGCTTCACGAATAGGACCCCCCAATTCCCAGTGCTCTGGAGCCGCCCCTGGTAAAGTTATGAACTTGAAATTTTCAGGGAATGTGCCCAATTTAGTTTTAGGAAAAGTCAGAAAATTTCAGCATCGTAGCTTCAGCGGTTTCGGAGATATTCCCGAAAAACCTGAGGGGTGGATAAAAACAACCCCCCCCCCCTGCCACTAATAGGGTTAACCGATTGTCGGGTCAGCCTGCGCTGTTTGTCCGATTCCCTGGTTGAACTGAACCGATCGTCTGATTGTCTGATCGGACTAAACTTTATGCTCGGTCGGACCGCACCGATTTCTGGTCAGATGCACCGATTGTCCGGTCGGGCTGCACCACTTGTCCGGTCGGGCTTCACCGATTGTTTTGGTGGTTCACACTTATCATCTAAGATGCCACGCTGATTTGCGAAGAGAGCGAAATTGCGTATTATATGTAGATGGAAATGTATTATATGCTCACGATTGGCTGCAAACGTACCTGGTGTTATCTTGCTCACATAAAGTTATGATAAGACGTTTCCCCACAAAATGTAATAATCGAAACAAAAAGCAGCTCAATTTTCCCGTCTGAAACCTGATGCTGGGCTCAACTTGAGACTCAAGAGAGACTGATGCCTTGCCGAAATTCGGGACAGGCTGGCTTAGGGGGATCACATCGGATGCTCCCGTACTGAAGGTATTGAACAGATGGCGAGTTCCATTGTCAGTCCCAAGATATATATGCCAATAACGTATAGACCTGCCAGTATATACGCCACCAGAACGTATGAACTGACCTCGGCGACAACGCTGCTGAGAGACCCAGCCGTGGAATTGGATCTGCGGATGTGGTCAGTGATGAATGGTTTCAGGGAGCTGGGATGAGTGCTGAATGACATGAGGACGCTGTTGATGACTGGGGTGAGGTGTGAGGATGCTGTGGGATTCGCTGTGGTCGTTGCAAGATAACTAGTATCCATGAAAAAGTGCTGGCAACTTTGTAAGCAGGCGAAATTATGAGGAGCAGCTGCCTCTGTCGTCAGAGCCCGTCACCGTCGGCCGAAACCGCCACTATAATATGTTTGCGGCAGTCGGTCTATCGCAACCCCCACAGTCGGCCCATCACAGTCTCCACAGTCGAACCTGTCATAGTGAGACCCGTCACAGCCCGATCCGTCACAGTCGGACCTGCTACAGCCCGACACGTTACAGCACCACACCATAGCCCGGGCCCGCAGTCAGTCAGTCCCGTCCCAGTCAGCCGAGTCCAGTCACAGTCAGCCCAGTCACAGTCCTGACTCCTGTCACAGTTCGCCACAGTCGACTGAGCCGGCCGTGCCCGCTGTATCGAGTTCCGCATGCGGGCAGCACACGGGCGCGTTAGTGAATGCAGCAGGGTGTTAATTGGGTCGTGCGTCTCACCACCGCCACTACATAGACTGGCGGTGAGGTGAGCACTGCGCCCGACACGCCATGGACACACAACACCCATCCGGCGAATCGGAAATCAATGCTCACGGCCCCCGGCGGGCTGTGAGGAGGGAGGAGAGCGGAGGAAGCCCGCTTCCTCGGACTGATGATGATGAGTCGAATGGGGGAGGGATTTGTGGGAAGGTAGGACGCCTGCTGGGGTGTCTGGCCAGCTGTGGAAACTATGTTGTAATTAGTTGTCAAGGTGGCATCGTGCAACAACTTCCTACAGTCAGAGCAATTCCCTATCGCATCGACAACTGTTCGTCGCCCCGGAAGCAATTACATTGTGTACGTGTCACTATGTCACCACCATAGGTGCACATGTGTCTCCATTATGTACAGGTGTAGGTTTGTACCTATACTGACCTAAATAAAATGAAAATATACGTAATAGTTGGCATTTAGTGCAATATTTCGCTATAGATTATATAGCATGCGTTTCCGTATGCGTTACAGTTAAGTTCGGAATTTGAACATAAGTCATCCATTCCTTGAGCCTTAGGGTCAGTCGTTGCTTGTCAAGCTATGAGAACCATTATTTAGCGCCATACCGCACGGCCCGCGACCGGTGGCGGATGGGCCGACGGTCGCGCCACGGTCCCCGTAGCGGCGCGGCGGTGAGGGTTGTGCGACGAGGGCGCCACCGTTTCACCTTGGGTCTCACTATAGTAGTGGTGCGGGTGGTGGAGGTCGGGACTAGGGTGTCAGGATTCATATACATGCATACAAATATGGTGAATATACTCGTATAGTCCGTGCCATCACATACCTGACTCGTTTATCGGTGGACTTCTAAATAGTCATGCCGTTAGCCTCAAGCTTGGCACTGGCAGCTTACCGGCAGTTTTCGTCTCCTCACTGGCTTGTCGTAGCAATCGGTAGCTTTCGTCTCGTCACTAACCTGTCTGAGTTTGTCGGTGGCGTCGCGAGACGGGAAGGCAGAGACGGAGCCGGAGAGCACGGCGTACCAGTTAGTGCCGCGGTCACCCTGACGAAACACTGAAACGGACGGGCACACAGCGACCGTCAGTTACCGAAAGCTTCAACAACAGAGCTCTGAATATCAATTTCCTTCGATTTTAACGAAACACTTGAATGTCTAAGCAGCTGGAATGGCCATCTCATCTACCACATTGAAGTCTTGAATAATAAATATCAAGGCGAAGAGACTTGAAATCGAGCTCCCGACACGGAGACTGCAATGTCCTGCCTACTAAATTGAGAGGGCAGCATATAGGGCAGATACATATAGAACGTTGCAGTCAACATCGAGCCTGCATCTCTGACACATTGAACTGAAGAGCATCCGTTATCACCTGTAGCGTTAAATGAGAGGCAATGTTGTTGTTGAACCCAGACGCACTTAGCTACAGATTGTCACCATGTCATTACCGGAAAGTGTTTGATCAGGGCGACCAATTTCCGAAACGAATGGCAATGATGGAAATGACATACCAGTATTAGTAAACGTTGGATTTTGCCTAAATGTGATCCTCAGGAGTTGTCTAGATTGAAAGGAATTCGGCCTATGATTAACACAAACCTACTTTTCTGTCAGACACGATATTGCAGCACAACTCCTCGGGTCTTCTTGTCGTCAATTAAAGATTTAAATTAGGTCAGTTTTACCTTGCCAGTAAATACGACAGGGGCTTAATCATATTTCTTCTGTAACTTCTGTGTCGTAAAGCAAATTTTTTTTCCATGGTTTGTTGACAACTTTTGAGCGTCACTTGCCGCCTCTAGTTACGAAGCCTTAGCAGAGTTAGAAAGGTGTTTCCTACTCAATTTGTTTCAGCGGGCAAGTCAAACTAGCAGTCACCAATAGGGATCCGATGAACAGTCAGTTGCGACTTGCGTGTTCACCATAATGCAGTGCAAAATGCCGTGACCTTAGCCCAAAAGCTCTGAGCGTTCCGCAGAAAGACGTTTCCGTGGACTGTCTCCGCACCGAGTTATTGTCACGCACCCCAGACATGTTTGTCCGACGGTAACCTTGCTCTCTCCCGGCCATTTGTCTAAGCCAGCCTCATCTCCAGACAGCACAGAAAGCTCCGAGAAATTTCTCCAGAGCTATGGTTGAAGCCGAATGGAAGGCCTAGAAATGAGACTGCGAACTCCCGCATATCGCCCACTGATAGTGCAGAGGTTCGATTATTAGGTGCTCGCCCATTATGATGGTGATATGATGCTGACACATAAAGTGATAACATCCCCTGGTACGTCCGTGGCGGTCCAAGAGCATTTAGATATCAGTTGGCGATAAATTAATAGCTTTGCATGTCACTGACATTTAAATTTTCATACTTTATCGATCGGTAATGGTCATGGGAGCATAAAATGTATCACACCGTACAATTCATTTTCATTCTCTTTTTGCGCCATTACATTCGTCCAGCGTAAGTACAAATTTGTAATTGGACGTCATTGCATGTGATCCCAGAGTGATCCCAGAGCCAACCCTAGACACTAACCCCTTTAACGCAGATACCCATTTTCTTAATTGAAATTGCCTCGCATAACTTTTAAACACATTGAAGAATTAAGCTTTTTTTCCTATTCAAGGGTAAAATGTAGAAGTGCAACCAACCAGATATTGCTTAGAATATTTTGTAGTGTCGTCCTGCCGTTCTCGTCCGCCACTCACAGTCACGTCTTCTCACATAGACGATGGTATTGAACTCAAAGAGACATAACAAAAGAGATACATTGACAGCGCGCTCCGCGCGCCCGCGAGCGCCCCGCCGGGCGGGCGGCCCAGACACTACATATTTCGATACAATAAGCTATACATTTATCATATACATTAATAATGAAAGAGCCTCATAACATTCAGGAAAAAACACAATGCGTTGCAGTAGGCCAAGCTCCTTTGTGTAGACGCATTACATTCAGAAAGTTATAAAGTATCAAGAAGCCAGCAGCAATGGCATGGATTTGAATGCATGCATTAGTTCTGTTGGTCGGTGCGCATCTTATGTGGGGTTGCCGGGTCAACTAATTTCGACGACGGTCGGAGCTCAATATATCTGCAGCCGAAACCATTCGGCTCCTCTGATAAAGTCCACGCAAAGTTTACTGCTGCCGGTGCCGCACTCTGAGCTGTGATCTTGGAGGTGAGCGACTGAGATTGGATTCTAGTTGGATGCGTGGCAGCCGCTTATTATCCAATTTTCACCGTTTACAGGCACTTCAAGAAATGCGTTGTAAAATCGAGTAAAATGCATTTCATTGAAAATCATCGATGGGGAAATGTTCTTCAAACACATATTTTGCTATTTGAGGTCACTGATACCAGGTCAGGTCCCAGAGGTCAGGTCACGGGGGGTCACAATATGAAAGTGTCGTGTGATACGTGTTTTATGGTCCATTTTACATGACAAATGCGATTATATGGGTCAGGCAGCCTTTGGGGCCAGCTTAGATCACGTTTTGGTCAAGGTCAGGTCAAGGTCAGGTCAAGGTCAGGTCAAATTAGGTCAAATTTCAAAGTTAATATTTTTGCATAAAATGGGTATCGAATCGATGCAGCTCGTCACGGGGAGTTCAATGGTGGTCTTTGTTTTGCCGTACGTGGTCTAGAATTGCTAAAAATTGAGTTCAAAAATTTGACGTCATCATTTTTGAACAGTTTTTTTGCTATAACTTGGCCAAAAAACGAGATATCGATCTGAAATTTGGTATGTATATAGAAGAGCACTGGGACTATCACATATATTCCGGTTTTTTCGAAATTCGGAAAAATTTTGGATTTTTTCAAAGTTTTTCTAAAAAAATCAATTTTTTGAATTTTTTTTGGTCAAAAACCAAAAATTTTGAAAATCCGAGATAGCAGTTTTGTAGCGCCGCTTTTTGTCTACTAGACCATATAAAGAACTTTGAAATTGCTTGATAACTGTAGATTTGGTGAGCGTTTCAAGATTGCATGTTTTTTGCTCATTTTTGCTCGAACATGACCTCAGTTTGACCTCAATAACTCCTGACCTAAGGTGACCTAAGACTTGAAATTTGGTGTGAAGGTGTCAAATTGATGCCCGGGAAGGTACTGAAATTTTGGCGGCGCTGCGCGCCGCCGTTTTCTTGCTATTCAGGAAAAACCACAGGGGGGGGCCAAAATGGCCCCCCCCCAACGGGGCGAGGGTTAACCCGCGCGGGGCTGGGGGGGGGGGGTAAATTTTACCCCCCCTCGCGAATTTTTGCAATATCTCAAAAACGGCGGCGCGCAGCGCCGCCAAACTTTCAGTACCTTTTCTTACATCAATTTGACACGTTCCCTGAAAATTTGAGCGAAATCCGTCGAAAATTTTTTTGAGAAATTGACGTTTTAGTGACGTCATGTTCGCCATTTTCGCCTCAAAAACGGCAAAAGTTCAAACGCCGCTAACATCTTCATTTTTAAAGGAATCAAGACGTAACAAAAAAGGATATACGTAATTCTACTTTGCCTATCAAATGGCTATCTCGGTTTTTTGAAAATTTTGGATTTTGACCCAATTTTTGTCAAAAAACTGACTTTTTTGGGAAAATAACTATAAAATCCAAAATTTTGAGTGTATCGAAAAAACCGGAATATATGTCAGAGAAGTGGTCTATATGCACCTACATACCAAGTTTTAGAAGAATCGGTTCAAAAATGTGGGAGTTATTCAAAATTGTATGACGTCATGACACACAAAATTTTTGAAAAATGACTTTTTTGGAAGTTCTAGACCTCGTACGGAAACAAAAATAGCACCATTCGATTCGCCGTGAAAAACTGCATCAGATAGACACCTTTTTAGACCTTAACAACCAACTTCAAAATTTGACCTCACTTGACCTGACCTTGACCTGACCTCGACCTGAAATTCATCCATAGGTGGTCGATATCACTTATTGAGTGTGCCTATTGAATTCTATGAGTAAAATGACCCATAAAACATGTGTCGCACATGCCCTTTTCTATATTTTGTTTTTGGTGACCTGACCTGACCTGACCTGACCTTGACCTTGACCTCTGAATGATATTGTATGCAACGAATATTGTCTTGGTAGCCTAAGAACACGTTTTGGGCGATCAGTCTCAGTCCATGACTCCATTCTTCGGCAACTACGGTGCAAGGCCGATACCGTAGGAACTTGCAATTTGTACCCTTGACCTGACCTTGACCTTGACCTCAAACTTAAAATTAAGTACATGTTTTTAGTTGTTCGTGATGAGATCTTTCGATTGGCGTTTGAATTTTCCAAATCGGACCATTAGTTCGGGAGATAACAGGGGGGGGGGGGGTAAAATTTACACCCCCCCAGCCCCGCGCGTTCGGCTGGAGACCCCAGCCCCGCGCGGGTTAAAACGATGACTTCGCGACATTTAGTTCCAGCATGATACGGAAAGATGGAACAGAAAACTCAGTTCACTTAAACGGTTTTAACTGACTTGAAACGTTTGACAACTTCGAAATTGTCGATTGCGCCGCAAGTTCACTCTGCTATTGGAAGTAAGCGCACCAATTTGGCTGCGTTCTGAACTTCTGACTTATGTAAACTACCTAATCCTTGTTCTCATGGATTAGGGGAAGATCTCACGGTCTTAACCCCACTCATGGCCGCAAATAGAATAACTCTGGTCTATGTATATGTAGTAGGCGATTGATCTTGAGCAGGAGAATAAGCTAAAACATATCCCACCACTCCGACTGCCTACACCTTACACAGCTAAGGTACGCTTCTCGAAAGGTCATGCTCCTAGAGAGGTCATGTTCTAAAACATATAAAGCCGAAGGCGGAAACGTTTCTTGTTTGTTGTGATCATAAATATCATTTTTTCTTGCCCTGTGGCATTCATAACATGCGAAAAACGTTTTTATCACGCAATTCAATAATAAATAGTGTATAAAGTGCATGGTACGGGCATCAGTAACAGATAAAAACATGTAACTTGCAAATGTAGGTAAGCCAAACCACTTATCGATAAAATGGTCTGACCTGATCAGTGATCATTATATTGCGTAGCTATTGCTTCAATCTTATTCGCATAAAGCTAAGCTCACGTGACACGTGCACTCACCTGTCACCCATCCTCGAGGTCCCCGTGTTGAGCTCACGTGTGACCCCTCTCCTCGAGGTCCCCGTGTCCCCACTTACGTGTGACCCCCTCTTTGAGGTCCCCGTGCTGGACTCAAGTGTGACCCCTCTCCTCGAAATCCCCGTGTCCCGCACTCACGTGTCACTCCCTCCCCGAGGTCCCCGTGCTGAACTCACGTGTGACCCCCTCCTCGAGGTCCTCCAGGTAGGCGCAGCTGGCCAGGTCGAGGATCAGCTCGTGAGGAAGGTCTCGGAGCGTGGCGATACTTCTCAGTAGTTCGGCCACGTACTGCACGTCCGTCATCGTCCGTTCGCCCGGCCTGGCGGCAGGCACACGAAATCACAATTTCATCGATTTTGGAAGTAAGATACCCACAATTTTAATTGGCATCTTAATGTCGAATACTTTTAAAAACGGTGTAATGACTGTTTTGGAAACATGAGATGGCCAGCGTTTGTTTCGTTCTTAAAATGAAAATTAATTGCACGATGTTATGGTCCTTGCTTAATAGTGACACCGAAAGGGTGTTTATGTATCACGCGATTGGTATGCCTAATGATTATGGCATTGATGAAATAGGCAAGTCATCTTTGAAAGCTTTTATTGATCTTTAACAAAGTCTCTTACCGGCGTACCAGAATCTCAAATAATTACCTTCTATTTTGAAAACTAAGAGGCCATAATTCAATTTTAAATGGCCTGTGTCTCGGGACTTATTCCCCTCAAATTCTTACCACGTACCCAGATACTATTTACGGGGTAGTTCTGCGTCGTTTTATATTACCATTATTTATATTACCCATTGATTCGGTAAATGGTCTCACCTTTTATCTAGCGCCTCCAGCCAGGGCTGAATGGGAGACATTCTGTACATGGTCCCTGCAACTCGGCTTGTGAAGCACCAGGTGGGCAGGGGAGTGACCAGGGCACCTCCGGTGAACAGGGGTGTCACCAGGACGCCATTGGTGGTTTGATGTTGTCACTGGTGCGGTCCTGTGGCCCGAAAAATAAGAAAAGTGAAATATTACAGATTAGACAGGAGTAAAAAAACATACTGTTACGCGGGTAGAGATGCACACAGACAGACAGACATACAGACAGACAGACAGACAGACAGACAGACAGACAGACAGACAGACAGACAGACAGACAGACAGACAGACAGACAGACAGACAGACAGACAGACAGACAGACACAGACAGACAGACGGACGGACGGACAAACAGGCGGCTAACCAAGTCCGTTCTGCTGGGTGGAACTTGGATGTTCTCTGAAAGGTCGAGTCCATCAGAAAGTTCGCTTTCCGCCCGCTAGCCCACATCGAACCACCCACAGTGGATCGACGTTATCACTGTCATTTAAAGCCCGAACTGTATTGAATGGCCCTAAGAGTATTCAGAGTGTGGGTATTTAAAACGGTATAAGTCATCGCCAGATATATGATCGTATAACATAATTTTCCCCAATTACATGCTAGATGGAAATATCAAGGTCATAGGGTATGAGGTGCTGGTATCGGCAAGTTGATCATCATCAGGCTGAATTATTGCGGATTTTGACAATTAACGGCTGTGTGTCAGCGAGATTGGTGCTTGGTGCTTCCACTGCCGAAAGTTATTGAAAGACACAGACACTATATTCGTAAATATGAAATTTCAAGCGAGTCGCGAGATTGGTGAATGGGGAGACCAGTTAGTTTAGCTAATCAGTTAAACTGTTGTTTATTTTGTGCTTGGAATGAAGGGTGTTTTATCCCCACGTGTGAAGTCGCTGTTTTATATTCAATGTTTGGTATTCGATATAAGCTTCACACCTCACCGAAAGGTTTTCGTAAGAGGAAACAGGACATAAACTGGCCATTTTACATACGTTTAAGCGATGTGCTTGAAGTCTGAGGGGCGTTAACCCGCGAGTTGCTGGGGGGGGGCGTTAAACGCCCCCACTTTTTTCGCCGGGCCATAGCATAAAAACGGCGCGCCGCAGGCGCGCCAAATTTTGGCTACCTGTAGGGAATTGATTGAAGTTTATTGTGACAAAGTTTCAAAAAAATCGGTCGGAAAATTTTTGAGATATCGAGGTTTTAGTGACGTCATGATTTCTGAGTTTTCGACCAAAAACGACATATGTTCAAAAAAATCATATAAAATCACAGAATAGACATACAGACATGCCGTAAACGCCATTAGACTGCCAATACCATGATCAATCAAATGGCTATCTTCGATTATTGATTATCGTTCCGCATTTTCCATAATCTTGAACTGAATCTTGACAATTTTTCGTGACTACTTCACGACCATGATACATGCATTTCTTAAATTGAACTTTTTGAGCCAAACACGTACACATATGATGAAATGAATGTCACCATCGTGTTCTACGCCCCAAATTACCTATAAAACATGTGTCACAGGATGCGAATATCAGTTTCGATTTTCGGGGATATGTGCCTACCCGGTTGACCTGACCTTGACCCTGACCTATGCTTGACTGACCCCGACATGGAGCTGACACTCTTGTAGGCCTTATATGATGGATTGTGCACCGTTTGGACAGAGTTTATGACGAGAGGCGCCCATTGCGAAGTCCTGAAGTCCATGCTACTGAAAGCCCGATTTCAGGTGTTTGACCTGACCTTGACCCGACCTTTGACCTCAAAATTCAACTTTAAAGTACTCATCTGAAGCGTCTCGTCGCGCTCTTTCGTTTGCCGCCTCGTGCGTTTCGCTGCGACTATTGGTTCTCGAGTTATCGGCTGGGGGCGTTTAACGCCCCCCCCCCCCCCCAGCAAACGGTGGGTGGCGAAATACCCAGCAACTGCCGGGTTAAAGGGACCCTCCCACCTTAACATTAGATTTGAGTTGAGATAGCCAAAATGGGGTCCCTGGCTCACAATTACCGGTTTCGGCACTCACAACATCGAGAAATGCCTTAAATCGGAAATATTGAATTTCAAATTTGCAGCATTTTGATTCAGAGGGGCTAATGCTTAGGAATACCCCTCTGAATGTGTGACGTCAGCGCAAATATCTAACGATTTTTAAATGTTTGACTAAAACGTTTTGTACCACGCGGTGGTATATGCTATTTGCGCGCAACATCTGCCGCAAACGCCGCACTTCTAAAATAAAGTCGCTAGAAACAGCGGAGTTCCCAAAAAAAGTAAACAAAAGTAAAAGTCTAATATCTTGAAAACCGGTGAATATTTTTCGGTGAAATGTGGTAGATATTCGTTTTTGCTCTTTCTGAACCGAGCGACATCACTTTCATGCCAATTCATAAACTTTTTTGAAGGTGGGAGGGTCCCTTTAAACAGTTCTCGACTGGTGTAACTTTGAATGCCTGTCGAAATAGGGGAAAGTGGGTGTATTGCGCCCTCCTAACCAATTGCGCCCACCAACATTCCCACGGATTCAATGGCATGTTTAGATTTTTGTGTTCGAAAACATTATTTTCACCACTGGATAGATCATTTTATGGCCCAAACTCTCTGATGAAGACAATTAGCAAGGCTCATTACGCCATCAAAGATGTTATGGCGTTTTCTTAACTATTTTGCAGTACTTTGAACCGTTGGCTATAAAAATTTGCGATATTTGTGTGATTTTCAGAGTGATATTTAGAAAGAAACCCCCTTTTTTCATTGTATTTCACTGAAACAGTAAACATCCTCCAACATCTTTATGACAACTTCTACGCTTTTATTAAAAAGTACCTCATTTTTAATTGCGCCCATGGCAATTGCGCCAGGGGGGCGCAAATAGAATAATGGTGTAGTCATTGTATCACGACAGTATGAATGCATCATTAACTGATTGCAATAAAGCAGGAGTTTAAAGTCAGGCAAGGGAGCAGCCCGCTGTCGTCAGTCCGCAAATTATTTCTCTCGTCGAACTTATAATGCAGCTGCCATTTAGGCTACAGCTTGTGGTGTAATGGATAAAATACGACATTTTTAACATGGACTCAGGCGTGAGAAGTGACAGCTATGATAAAAAACTAAAAACTTATGTCATTAAGTTTTGAAAATGATAAAAATTATTAATTTTGCGAGAAACGATTGAAAATATAATTGTATAGGCGCATACGTTCATATATATCTAGTCAGTTACAGTAAACGTTTTCGTTGCACTTTTACAAGCGTACGGACACATGTAAAGTTATCTACCTGGGCAAAAAACGTCGCGATTTATATCTACATTTTTTATCCAGCCTGAATAACATTATAAATGTTTAAGTAAGCCGCAATGACATTAGACTGCCCGGGGCGTATGCATTCCGTCTCATTCACTTAGCCATGTTAAAGTATAGGGCGCAATTGGGTTCTAATTGCGCCATCCCCCTGGCGCAATTAACAGCAGTTGTTGGCAAATGCGCCCTTTTGCATGTTTCTGAAAAAGCAGCTGTCAGAAGCAAACAAAACATCCTCAATTGATCGGGAGGCTCTTAAATCGTAGCCAACGAGTTCCTCTTTGAAATGGTTACCAGTGCATGCTTATATTTCCAGCGGTTTTCTTACAAATAGAGTTTTTCGTTAAGGTGGCGCAATTCACCCTCCTTCCCCTACAAAGCTGCAATAGGTAAGCCAAACACAGACACCGAGCCTACCAATAAGACTACCATGCGGATCATTGATATTGCCTATATATAATTCATTTTATGATATCTATGTGACAATTATTTATCAGTTTAACACGTTAATAATTAACAAAAACACAAATTTATCATGCATTGCATTAACATACATGAACATACATTTTTACATAGCTTGCAATAGTAATTTGCACAGAAGTTAAACTGGCTAAATCTGTCAAATTAGTGAAATTGAGATTTGTTGGTTTCTAGTTAGAAGATAAGACTTGCCTGTTTCATTGTATTTAATGATTCTAACGTTATTTGTTCACTTTTAAGATATTTCGGAGCTCAAAGCTGGCCTTCATCGTGCAAAGTATTCATAGGTATCTAATAGTCAATAAAATAAACGTCCGAACTCCATCACAGGAATCTGAAACACGTCACATCAGTGGTCCTGTCACTTATGCACACCGCCTGCCTTTTCACGGGGACTGGCTATCCACCACTGCCGTGCCGGCACTCCCCGGCACTCCCGTAAGGGGCGCTTCCCCTTATATGGACACTCTCCTATCAGCACTCCTCTGTGGCCTGTGTCGGCTCCGTGGCACTCACCTGTGGCTCTCTGTCGTCTCCGACGCTACCTGTGGCTGGCTGCCGTCGCCGGCGGCACCTGTTGCTCGACTGCCGGCGCCGGCCGCCAGGTAAGTCGGCCGCTCGCGCTCGGTCGATGGCGCACACGGGCGCGCACCTCGTGTCCAGGAGCGGCACCGAGACACCGCCGGAATCGTCCGATGTCCCATGCCGGGCCCGGGACACTGTCGGAATCGTCTGGTGTCCTGCGCTGGGTTTGAGGCAGCACTGAGGAGATTGTCTCGTGTCGTTTGACGGGCCGGGCACTGCGGAGTGCGGAGACCACCTCCCATCCAGTACCGGAACCGACGGCACCTCGTATCCATTGCCGGGCCCGAGGCTCTACTGAGAGGATCGTTTGGTGCCCTGTGCCGGGCCCAGTGGTACCTCAGGTCCTGAGCCGGTCCCGCGACACTGCCGGGACCGTCCTGCGTCCCGTCTCGTGTTCAGTGGTGGGCCCGCAGGCACTGCCGGGATCGTCTGGTGTCATGCGCTGGGCCCAGTGGCACCATTATGGCATCGTCTCGTGCTTCGAGGCCGCCACGACCGGTCAGATGTTACCTAAAAGTCAAATCATTCGCGAAAATTCATTTTTGAAACGACATACCTGTGCGTCTGATACCATTACCACCGCATAAATATACGCTGAGGAGCCGGGTCCCGCGCTACACCGAGCTAAATTGTGGAGCTCTATATTCGT